TCCATCCAATAGACATCTCAAGTATAACCTGTCCCAAATAGAGCTCGCAAGATTCATTTCTTCACTGCTGCTATTTCTCCACTCCTCCCCCTCTCCACCAACCACATCCCCACCTACAGTCGTCACCATCTCAGCTATGGCAACTCATTCTTCCAGTCACTTAGGCCAAAAACCATGTAGGCATTCTTTTTTTTTTTTTTTGAAGATTTTATTTGTTGACAGAGAGAAATAGCGAAAGAGGGAACACAAGCAGGGGGAGGGGGAGAGGGAGAAGCAGGCTTCCCATGGAGCAGGGAGCCCGATGCAGGGCTCGATCCCAGGACCCTGGGATCATGACCTGAGCTGAAGGCAGACGCTTAACGACTGAGCCACCCAGGTGCCCCCCATGTAGGCATTCTTGACTCCTCACTTTCTCACACGTCCTGTGTAAACCATTAGGGAATCTTGTGTCTCCTCTGCTTTTAGAGTATATCCAGACTGAACAATTCTCACTGGTACTACATTTCTAATATTCTATAAATTCTGTCATCTCCAACTTGGTTTACTGCAATAAACTCCTACTAGTAGGTCTACCTCTACCTTGCTGTAATACTACAGCCAAATTGATCCTTTTAAATCCCAAGTAAAGTCCTGTCACTCCTCTGCTCAGAATCCTCCAGTGACTCCTCATTTCACTCTGAAAAAATGATAAAAGTTCTTATGTTTACATGTACCTCCCCACAGGACTGGAACCAGCCTGCCTTTCTGAGTCCTCCTCTCACCACTCCCTCTAGCTCACTCAGCTTCTTGCCTCTGTGCTGTTTGTCAAATGTGCCAGACCTGGTTTCGGTCTCGGACACTACCCTGGTCTTTCTTCTCCCTGGGATAATATTCTTTCCCCCTTTATCTTCATGGCTCTCACACATTTATCTTTGCTCACAAATCATCTTCTGATCACTCTGTTTAAAATGACACCCCACCATAGGCTTCTTACCCTGCTCTACTTTTCTCCATAGCATTTCTCACCTTGTGTATTGTATAATATACAATATAATTTACTGGTGTTCTTGTCCTGCTCGAAATCTCCCCATCTAGAATGTAAATTCTGAGGGTAAGATTTTGATCTGTTTTGTTTTGTTCACTCACTGTTGTGAGCAGGTCCTAGCATAGAGTCATCACAAAAGAAATTATTTCAGTTAATATATGAGGTTGTTTTTATTTTAGATCATAAAATACCAAGTAATAGCCAAGTCAGATGCTTACAGTTTTCATCAACATGCATGCAAGTATATTTGTGTTTGGTATGAAATTGTTTACTTTTATATACCTTTTTCAGTCAGCTGTAGAGGATTTTGATAACTACAAAAATTTACTTTGTCTTAGTATTTGAATTAACTAGGTTTATTTCTTAACCAAAACATTTTCAATTTTTCTTTTCTGTACAGAATGGGTGTGTTGGTGTCGACAGACGTGAAAATGTTGGTCGACGACTTGCAAATCAACAAAGTTTAAAAAATAGGATTGAGTCTGTAAAAACAGGTCTGCTTTTTAGCCCAGATATTGATGAAAGATTAACAAAGAAAGGTACAGTTACATGATATTTTTAGTTTTACCCAAAAAGCCTACTTTCATTGCTTTTCTGAAAAAGTTTTTCTGGCTTTCTTGAGATATAATTAGATATAATTGACATATAAGCTTCAGTTATTTTATCGTAAAATATATTAATTTACTGTTCTAGAAATTAAAAATTCATGTTTGAATAGTGAAAATATTTGAATTGGCATCGTATTTTTGTCTGAACAATTGGAAGATGCTTTTAAATATAAATACAAAAATGTTTGACATTTTTATATTAAAAATTATTTCTTTTAACACAAATCCTTAATTATTGAAATTTAATGTTTAATACCTTTATCTGCCATGTGTTTGAATAATATTTCAAATATGTTTCAAATACAAATGATTGAAAAGACTGAACTGTTTTATTTTAGGTTCAAAAAAGATTCATAAATCTGAGGAAAACTTAACTCCAGAGCGTCTAGGTGGAACAAATTACCGGATGTCTTGGACAGGACCTAGTAATTCTAGTTTTCAAGAAATAGCTGCAAATGAAGTTTCTCTGATCAAAGGAAACCTTGAGGTGAAAAGCTCTTTGGAGCCTGATACTACGGTTGAAAAGTCCCCTGTTCATTCATATGAACTCACCCCTTCTAACGTACATGATAAGCATAACAACAATGTAACTGAAAGCTCTCTTAGTGGGGATGAAAATAACTTGACCACAGAGACTTTGGTGAAAATTCAGAAAGCATTTTCTGAGTCTGGAAGTAATCTTCATGCATTGATAAATCACAGGCAGTCATCAATAACTAATGTGGGGAAACTAAAGCTAAATGAAACATCTTCTACAGAATATAGCCCAGAGAAAAATCTATTTGAAACTAGTGATTTGACTGTGATAGAATCAGATGAACATCAAACTAAAACAGATGAAAATAGTTTTTCAGAACAAGACATCTCACTACATCAAACTCAAAAATCAGATGGAGAAGCAACTATAACATTTTACTCAGCTCATATGAAGATTGAACATGAGAAAAGCATCCATTCAGATATACCTAGAGATCACTCAGTCAGGCCAGAATTGCCTAGTGAGGAACACATAAAGAAACAGCAGTCCCCAAGGGATAAACTAAATACTCAGTTAAAGGAGAATGAGAATATGATTGAAGAGAACTTCTTACTGAAATGTGCAGGTTCTAGGGAGGATGCAGCTGACCTCTCTTCCTCAGAGCAGATTACATGTAATATAACAAACTTACCAAAACCAAGGCCTGTGAGAATCCTTCAGCAGCAGTCACTGGGGGGAAACTGCCATACAACCGGCCCTGAAAGCTCACAAATGACAGAGCACGGGAGGGTGTCAGACCACATACAGTGGTTTAACAAGCTTTCTCTCAATGAACCAAATAGGACCAAAGTTAGGTCACCTCTTAAGTTTCAGCGTACACCTGTCCGTCAGTCTGTCAGAAGGATTAACTCCTTGTTGGAGTACAGCAGACAACCTGTAAGGCACAAATTGGCAAGTCTTGGTGATGCGGCTTCTCCTCTGGTGAAATCAGTGAGCTGTGACAGTGCTCTTTCCTCTGGTATAGAAAGTACATCAAAAGATTCGTTGATTTCATGTACCAAATCAGATCCTAAAGAACAGAAGTTTATAGCATGTGAACAGCCAAATGTTGATGCAATTTCAAAATCAGGCATGGAGTTAACTTATAAGTCTTTTTCAAGGATGAAGAGGTACCCAGACTCCAAGAATGCTTCTCTTGGGTCTACCAGAATTTGTAAACAGGAAGTAGTATCTGATGGCCAAATTAAGGTTCCCTTGGATGACCTGACAAATCATGACGTATTTAAATCTGTTGTAAATAATAATATGGGCTTTTCTCCTGGGATAAATACCAGAGTCCTTAGGAAACCGTCAGAAAAAGAAAGGGTCTGGTATAAAGGTTCTCCAAAAAATCCTATTGGCAAAGCTCAGCTACTACCAACGAGTAAACCTGTAGACTTGTAATTGATAAATGTTAATACTTGTTAATGTAAATAAAATTAGCGGTTGGTGATAGGACTGGCAGGATAATCTGCATGTTAGTTCGTTAGCTCAGGAAGATGAAGTGATAGATTTTAATTTCACTGCACAAGCAACTTGAATTATGCTTGTATAAATGACTATTTTGTTTTTCTTAATTATGGCAGTATTTAAACTTGTGATCTCTTAAAGCAGAGGTTACACTTTTTGAAAGAAATTGGCTGGGTTTGTGAGAAATTAATTTTTGAATATTGTATGAATTTTATATTAAGTGTGATAGGAAGAGTGGAACGAGTTGTCTATTTCCTGTTATTCCTCCTAAGTCAGGTTTCTACAAGAAATTTCTTATATGTAGAGGGAAGAGATAAGCCTTACAAATCTTATTTCTTTAATTACATTGATATTTATGGCTTTTGCCAAAATCCCTAAAAATTAACTTGTTTCAATAGCATCTTAATCCTTTACTCCTATCTGGGGCAAAGTAATTAAGTTTATATTGTCTATAGTTGTGTACGGTATGTTCACTGGGACTAAGAATTACGGCTAAAGCAGAATAATGACTCACGTGTGCTCTTAAAGAATGATGCTGCAGAAATAATTGAGGACTTTTGAGCCATACTATGTTTTTAAAGTTAATTTGCACAAATACATTTGTAGCTGTTTTGTCTGATATAGAATTTAAAATTATTTAAGGAGGAATAATTAAGCTTGGAAATTTTTAATCAAGGTGATTTCTTAATATGCACACACTTGATTTTATAATTTAAAATAGTTGATGTACCTCTGTACATTTAACTTGGATTCTTAACTTTTGATTCTTATAAAAGCCTATGATGGTTTTGTCTGGTGTGTAAATGTTATTTATTTAGCATAGACATTAAAGGTAACCTTCTGGAAAATGACTTGTCTGAATCTCTGATGAAATTCAAAGTACCTTTTAGAATTTGACCCAAATTGTCAAGCAAATCTTTCTAAATTTATATTTTAAATTATTAAAAGTTACAAGTGCTTAAGGAAAGAATAATGTCAACAATGGTGGATATTCTCGAGGTTTTAGAGGAAGGAATGTTGTAGGCAGAATGAACCACTACAGATAGTTTTGTAGGTCAGTTATTAGAACTCCACATTCAGATAGTGGAGCAGAATAGAACAGCATTGCACATCTACTCAGAGCAGCCCATATTTACAGAGAAATTTAAAGTCATCAGATGTGTCTGCTTTACCAAGTTCTACTTGATAGCAATACATCTGTTTTATTTCAAAGCTATTTCCTATTTTTGTATTACCTAGGAATCAACCCTTTCTCATTACTAGTAAGAATTTTTTTTTTTTTAAGAGTTTATTTATTTGACAGAGAGATAGCAAGAGCAGGAACACAAGCAGGGGGAGTAGGGGAGGGAGAAGCAGGCCTCCCGCAGAGCAGGGAGCCTGATGTGGGGCTCTATCCCAGGACCCTGGGATCATGACCTGAGCTGAAGGCAGACGCTTAACGACTGAACCACCCAGGTGCCCCCTCACTACTAGTAAGAATTTGACTTATATAAAGACTGAAAACCTGTAGATAAATACCATGTTTTTGTTTTTTTTTTTAAAGATTTATTTATTTATTTGAGAGAGCGAGAATGAGAGAGAGCACATGAGAGGGGGGAGGGTCAGAGGGAGAAGCAGGCTCCTCGCTGAGCAGGGAGCCCGATGCGGGACTCGATCCCCGGACTCCAGGATCATGACCTGAGCCGAAGGCAGTCGCTTAACCAACTGAGCCACCCAGGCGCCCCGATAAATACCATGTTTTATGACATCAAAACAGGTTTGTGATGTAAACTGGATATGCATTTCAGGTGTTTATGATATTTCTGATAGTAAGTGGAGATAGAAAACCCTCATAAACTCTGAAATATATGGTGTCTGATTCAAAGCAATTGTTTCAACTTCACCTCCGCTCTGGATAAACTTTTAAAAATGTACTAATGTTATTTTATACCCATGGGTATGGGTGAAGTCCAGTAAGAAAGCACAGGAGATTAACTGTACAATTACCTGAATTAGTGGCTTTTCTGAGATTGATAATAATGAAAGATATTCATTAAAAAAAAAAACAAACGGGCGCTTGGGTGGCTCAGTCATTAAGCATCTGCCTTCAGCTCAGGTCATGATCCCAGGGTCCTGGGATCGAGCCCCACATCGGGCTCCCTGCTCAGCGGGAAGCCTGCTTCTCTCTCTCCCACTCCCTCTGCTTGTGTTCCCTCTCGCTGTGTCTCTCTCTGTCAAATAAATAAATAAAATCTTAAACAAAAGCAAAAAACTACCCTGGGATGCCTGGGTGGCTCAGTCAGTTAAGCGTCTGCCTTCAGCTCGGGTTGTGATGCAGGGTGCTGGGACTGAGTCCCACATCGAGCTCCTTGCACAGCAGGGAACCTGCTCCCTCTGCCTGCCGCTCCCCCTGCTTGTGCTTGCTCTTTCTTTCTGACAAATAAATAAATAAAATATTAAAAATAAATTTAAAAAACCACCCACATGTCATTCCCACTTTTGTTAGCTGAAAGCTAACAGTATAGGAGGACTATGAAGGTGAGTAGCTTGGACAGTCAGGAAAGTTAAATTTTAGAATTAATCTCTTTATTTTATATAAAATGGAGATAATATTGCTCATGAGAATATCTGGTCAAGTGATAGGTCAAGTTAACACAGTTACAATTATGGTACATAGTCACTAACTTAAGGGATTACTTTCACTTTGTTCTTGCAAGTGTAAATAAAGATCTCATACAAATTTGTTTACCATGAGCAACAAAAAAAAGGACTTAAATTAGTAGGCTGGCAACATTTTATAATCACTTAGAATTTAATATTGGTGTTTGATCATCATCAAGTCCAGGATATATATGTTTTTAAAATACCAAATATCATATGAAGCAAACCTTTTGGTGTATAATTTCCATTAAACACAAAAGCCGTAAATTGTAATGTCTTCTCCATTTTTCCAAGCACAAAATGAAGATAACAGTAAACAATTAAGATAAAATTCTGAATTGAAAAACTTCAGTATGTGTAAATAATATTAAATCCCAGCATGGTCTTTGAGCCTAAAACCAATAATAGTCCGCATTTGTCTTGTTGATTTGCATGCACTGAAACAAAAAGCTGGAAACGAGCATCCATGGAAGCAAAGACACTAGGGAGGGGGCTTGGCTTTAACCAAAAGGCCATGTGTCTTGGGAATGAGTTTTGTGGGCCCCTCTAATTTGCATAAGATGCTACAGCTGAGCATGGATTTGCAGCATAGAGCTAGGGTAAAGAGATCTGGATTCTAGCCTCGTCAAGATAGTTATTCTCTGGCCCCCAGGGTACTTTACTCATCCCCAGTTTCGAAAGAAATTATTTTATGGTTTTACATCTCAACTTTGTATTTGGACTAAATTCACATGTTCAAGATTGTTCCATAAGTCTTCAACAAAAAATTCTGGGTCTACCTGGATAAATTTCTGCAATGCGCAGGAAGTTCAATTTCTCTTCAGGCTAAAGAAATCTTGATAGCTGGTCTGGAAGTTTAGAAATAACACTCAGAACTAATGTTCCTAGAGGTTTTCATGCGTTTTTGGTGTATCGCTTCTAACAGAAGTTTCTAACATCTCGTATTAAAAATCCCCATAGTTTCCCTGCTCAGTGAAAGGGCTCCTGAAACACCTTTATGATGGGTACACCATCATTAAAAGTTCTTAGGACCTCTTCATCTTTTGTCTCTCCTATCACTGCCCCTTCTCCAACCAAGAAGACTTAAAAAAAAAAAAAAAAAGATGGGAAGTGGCAAAATTAAAGATGTGGCATTGGTGAAGGGCAAAAGTGGCGAGCTGACACATTGTTTCGATAATTGGTTGAGAAAAGGTGAATTACTTCCGCAAGGGTCGATAGATAAAAGTCTCCAGGACATGTGTACGTGGAATGCGTGGGTTGAACCCTGCGTGGCTCAGGGCAGGAGGTGCTAGCATCTGGGTCGCGCTCCAGGGCCTCGGAGCCCGGCGGCCTCCACCTGCTGGAGGAGCGGTGGGGGCGGGGCTAAGATGAGGAGGGAGGTGACGCACGCGCGATACGGCTCACCCGGCCCGCAGCTCGACCCCCGCCCAGGCCCGGACCGCAGCAGAATCCTCCCGCTGCCCATCGGTGAGTCCTGCGTTGATGCCTGCTCGACCCCCTGAAGCCCACCCGAGACGCGCGGGTTTTACAGGATGGGGAGGGGAGGGGGCGTCCTGCTGAAATCCTTGAGCCGGAGGCTGGGGGCAGACAAAGAATGGGTGGGGATTAGAAGGTTCGGTTATAAATACGAGGGAAAGAGTATCGAGGGAGGAAATTGGGTAGCTCATCAAATCAGAACGGTGTTGGCCAGGGGTTCAAACGAAACAAAGACATCCTGCGTTCACAGCAGGCCAGGGGAAGATGGAGATGGCTGGAGAGGTTGGTGTCTGCCTCCGGCCTTTTACGTCAGAATCGCAGGCTTTTCTGTCTCAGCAATTTGGGGAACAAGGTTTCATATCTAGGGGTGGCTTGGAAAAAAATGGGGGTTATGAATATTGCAGTTTCAAGGAAAAAAATGAATCCCCCAGTCCCCTCCATAGAAGAATGGTCAAAAGGAGGGTTTGCACAGCCATTGCCTGAGCATCGGTCTTAAACAGGTTCAGCAGCTGCAGAGGGAAGCTGCATGAATATTTGTCCCCTTGTTCTGCAGGCTTCTGGTTCCAGAGAAGCCAACATTTAAGACGGGTTGACTCCCCGGAGCAGTTTTCTCCCTCTCCTCTCATCATGACCATGTCTTCAAGTTCTAACCTCTAGAACCATGAGACAATATTGCCAGCATCATATTGACAGTATGGGGGCTCTGCCTGGCATTGTGCTGATGCTCACCACAACCCTATAACACAGATGCTTTCTTCATGCCCGTTTTGCAGGCGAAGCAGAGGCATTTGCCCAGGATCGCTCAGCCAGTATGTGGCTGAGCAAGCTTGCCTCTTCTCTCCTACCAGATTGCAGAGCAGGCCTGAGCTGGCTGTATTTTCATCCCCTTCAAGATCTCACATGTATTGGAGGTCTTCCACTGCTCCTAACCTTTCTGTGCTTCTTTACCATTTGTCTTCCTGACTCCTTCCTCAGAACCTCCTTTTCCCCCCGAGACTGGGAAAACTCCCGATGACCCTCTCCCTCTCTCTAAATTGAAGCCGGTTCTTGTTTGTTGGTTTGCTTGCTTTGCTAAGAGAGGAGAGGGTGGTGGGGTTAGGGGTAATGAAGCACTTTCAGGGAGCTGCAAGGAGAAGAAAAGGAGTGAGAACGGCCATTCCTGGCTAGTCTTCCCAAGGCTGCCATGTGCAGAGGGAATTGGCTATCTTGGGTTGTTTCGTTTCTTTAATACCATTCCACAGCAGGTGTTCTACCCAGACTGGACACTTAAGGCAAGAGCAAACCCCTAAGGACTTTTCATTGCAGCCCCCGTTGTGTGGGTGGTCCTTGAATCACTCACTTGCGTGATTGATCATCACAGTCACCAATTGTGGCCAATCGATACATATTTGGTCTTTTTTCTGCAGGTGAAAAATGGTCTCCACGATGGTTTCTACCATGCTCTCTGGCCTAGTGTTTTGGCTGACATTTGGATGGACTCCAACATCTGCGTATAGCCCGAGGAGCCCTGACCGGGTCTCGGAAACAGATATCCAGAGGCTGCTCCATGGCGTTATGGAGCAGTTGGGCATTGCCAGACCACGGGTAGAGTATCCAGCACACCAGGCCATGAATCTTGTGGGCCCACAGAGCATTGAAGGTATTTACTATATTCTGGTACTTAAAATAATACATGCTGAAGAAACTTTATTTCCTCCCTCCGTTTCCCATTTCTTATTCTTCACAGTATATACATGCATGCCTCCACATAAGAATATAAGTATCAAGAGAACAAGGACCTTATCTATCTAACTCACAGCTGTAGCCCTAGCACCTCGCACAAAGTCTGGTACATTAATATTTGAGTGAATAAAGGAGCATCTAGCGTTATCCCTAAAGAAAGATTAGAACCCAGACCCTGCGTCTTCTCCCATACTGATCATTAGGAAATTGTGTCACCAGCTGGCTCCTTCTCTGAGTCATTGCCAATCAGTATTTGTAAAAAATCCTTAAAATGCAGGACCTATAGGATCTGACTTGATTCTTAGGGATGGTGTTGTTTAAACACAAAGGAAGCTGAAAGAGGTACTGACATTGAGTTTGTGTCAAAAAACGTTTTTGAAATATTTTTAATTATTACAGATGTTAATTAAATTCTTTTAGTGTGGCAAGACCATTGCCCCCTAGAACTTTTTGAAGTTTCTGGCAATGTCATTGTAATACTTCTATTAAAAAGCAGTACTTTGTTGTTTAATGATTTACCTATAGAGAGAATCTGCATCTAGTTCTTAGGAGTTGGTGACAAGCAGGTGCCTTATTTCCATGCCTTGCTTTGTATCCTCTCTGATTCTGAAACAATCTCTTTCTCCAGTGAGGGGGAGTCCTACAGCAGTAGCATGGTTAATTTAGGTTAACTGCAAGGGAGCACTCCAGACTTTTGCCCGTGTGAGGGGGTTCCGAGGAAAAAATGTGAATTCTTTCTGAGTTTTGTCAAAATACATAACCAGCAAATGCTATTCTGTATGGATTGATGATGCATCCTTTTGCCTGAGTCTGTGATTTCCTAAAAATGCTATCTGCCCTGGAGGCCTGTAAATGCCATGGATGTGGGCGAAAAATGACTCTCATTTCTGTCTTGTTACCCACGGTTGCAAGCCATTGAGTAAAACTAATTCTGTGGGATTGTTGTCTGTTTAGGTTGGCATCGCATATCAGGAATGGATTAACAGATAATTTGAATCGGCAAGCGTGCAAACCTAGCACAGGGCTTAAATCAGAGTGAATCATGCCACCCCTTTAGGAAGAATCTCCGTCCTTCCCGGCACCTGCTACCTGTTGCTCCTAGCACACCTATCCAGTTCAGACCAGCTTTTTCTGGACAGTAAATATCTGCCCTTTTAGCGCAGTAAGTGCTTGATTAGCCACCCAGCTGTTGTCATGGAGAAAGCTTTCCAAGTTTCCATTAATACCTGATGCCTGGTCATCTGTATGGAAGAGAAATAGCAGCTCCCTGGGCATGCGAGGCTTGTGTTTTTCCAGAGCCTCATTTTCTTTACTCGGTATCCAATTATTTAGCACCCACTCCACGCCAGCCCCGGTGCAGGGACTGGGGCAGCTGTGTCCTAAAAGAAAGGTTACCACAATGCACCTGCATGGCAGGGTTTTGGGGAGATGTCCAGACAAGCTGCTATCATGGAAGCAAAGAATAGGAGTAATTAATTTGTTGTGCTTGGGAGTGGATGGGCATGGCTATAAGGAAATACTTCTTTGGAGAAGCAACATTTGACTTGGGTTTGGAAGTCTGAATTGGAATTCAGCAGGGAATAATACCAAGAGAAAAGGCAAGGAGGTTTGAAAGAGCAGGACAATTAGGACAATTCAGAATGAAAAATTCTGTTTCCATTATGATCCCCTGGGATGATGTGAGGTCATGGCCGTGTTAGGTCACCTCTCAAAGTGTCTGTGTAAGGGATGAAGATTGGCTTGTGTTTTAGTTTTCTATTACGCTATAACAAATTACCACAAATTTACCATCTTGCCATAATGCCCATTTATTATCTCACGGTTTCTTTTGGTCAGGCATCTGGCTTGGGTTTGCTGGGTCCTCTGCTCGTCTCATCAGGCTGAAATCCAGGTGTTGGCAGGAGCTTGGGGTCGTCTTTCAAACTCATTAAGGTTGTTGGCAGAGTTCAGTTTCTTGCTGCTGTAGGACTGGGGTCCTTTCTTGCTGGCTGTCAGCCAGGGTCCCTCTCAGCTCTTAGAGGTCACCCCAGGTCGTAAGCCACAGGGCCCCAGCACAACAGGGCAGCTTGCTTCTTCAAAGCCAGAGGGAGAATATCCCTTTAGTCTCCTAATTGTAATGATGGGAGTGGCCATCCCATCACCTTTGTCATTTAACAAGGGACTGATACCCCATTATATTGATAGGTCTCACCCACACTCAGAAGCAGAGGATTATGCAGGGTGGCAATCCTGGGGGTCACTTTAGGATTCTGCCTTTTACAGCTTGGATGAAAGCTAATAGAAAATAGTCCAAAGACTTTGGGGGAGAAAAGAAACAAAAGAAGAAGCCTGGCTTTTTCCCAGTCCTGGACCTTGGCACTTAATTTGTTAGGTGATCTCATATTTATTTATGTGAGTGTAGCATTGGTTCAGTTCATCCATTTGTTTGCATTGTCTCTGCTCATTTACTCCTGCTAATTCCCAGGCTTCTTTTTTTTTTAAAGATTTTATTTATTTATTTGAGAGAGAGAATGAGATAGAGAGAGAGCATGAGAGGGGGGAGGGTCAGAGGGAGAAGCAGACCCCCTGCTGAGCAGGGAGCCCGATGTGGGACTCGATCCCGGGACTCCAGGATCATGACCTGAGCCAAAGGCAGTCGCTTAACCAACTGAGCCACCCAGGCGCCCAATTCCCAGGCTTCGATCCATATGTGTAGTATCTCTTACATCCCTTCCAACATTTATTGTAGGATTTTATTATGAAGGACCAAGTTAGAAAAGGGTTTTTTTTCCTGATTTTTATAGAAAGAATAGACATAAAGCGTGTATTCTGGTGTGAATATTAACACATATTTAACGTAGACTATTGGCAAAGACACATGAGTTTCAACGCCAGCAAATTACTTAACTTCTCTAAGCTTCCGTTTACCTTGGGGATAGGATTTGAATTTACTGCCTGAATTTGAATTTATTACCTGCGAGCAGGTAATATTCCATTTCAGAAAAAAAGGTGTTCGCATGTATAATTGCACTACTGTGAAATCATTTTTGAATGAATCATCATCACACTTTAGATGACTATACTGGACTCTAAGTCCCTTGCAGGAAGGGCTGTTTATTATCTAATAAATGGCACATTGAAGATAATTTTCCCTTATGTTGTCTATTCTGATTAATTAATCTTATGATCCTCAGATTAATCTCATTAGTGAAGATATATATTAGCTCTCAAGCATAGGGTTATAAGCTAGTCTTTTAGTATAGGATATAGGATCAGTATAAATTACCCATATATCCCATTAGAAAACTTAGTCCCTCCTTTGATCTCATACCCCTTGTAGTTATTGTACCATTTTTTTTTTTGCTGCCTTTCCCAGCATCTGTTCACCGCCTACGATGGCGCTTCCCCACCTCCCATTCTCTCCTCGTCCATGGTTCCTGCCCCTTATTTTTCAGGTCAACAAGTATTTCTTGAATGCCAGGCACTGTTTTAGATACCGGGGAAAGAAAGATGAACATCAAAGATTGGCAAGACAGGAGAGATACAGTCCCTAAACAAACAGATACGTAAAATATATAATAAGTCAAATGGTTATAAGTGCTCTAAAAATATAAAGCAGAGGAGGGGGTTGGAGGAAACAACTTAAAATAGGGGTAGGGGGCTCCTCCCTGGGAAGATAAGCCAAGCTCTGAGAGTTGGAGAGTGAGCCGTGTGATACGTAGAGAAAGACGTCCCAGGCAGAGAGCTGCACGTGCAAAAGCAAGGAGGCTAGTGTGGCCGGAGCCCAAGACTCAGGAGGATGGTCGGAAGGAGCCTGGGTGACGGCAGGAAGGGGAGGATGGAGGCTGGGTACGTGGGGACAGGTCTCCTCACAGGATCTTCGGCTTGTCCTCTGAGTACATATCCTTGAAAAGGATCACTCCAGCTGCTGTATTGAAAATCTTCCTGTGGGGAGGGAGGACTGGAATGGGGAAGCTCATTTAGGAGGCTTCTATAATAATCTGGGGGGGGGGGGGGTAGATATACTAGCATGATAGATAGAGAGGTAGCGAGACATGGGCAGATTGTGGGTGTATTTTGAAGCTAGAGCCAACAGGATTTGCTGGTGGGTTGGAGGCAGGAACTGAAAGAAAGAGGAGTCAGGGGTGACACCAAGATTTTGGCCTGAGGAACTGAAAAGGAACACTTTTCTCCAAGAGGAACACACTGAGCCTCTCCAGGGGAAGAGTTCAAGTTCAGTTTTCCACAGGTTAATTTTGAGATGCCTTGGACGAGTTCTTGTCTTGCCAAATCCACCGATGTTCTGTCTTCATCCTATTCAACCTCAGCAGCAGTCAACACACTTGACCTTCTTAAAACCCTTTTCTTTCTTGGTTTTTGCACCAAGATGGCACACCGTTGGCTTTCCTCCTTTCCCTTTTCCCCGTTAACCGTTTTCTTCCTGGTCTCCTTGGCAGTTTTCTCCTTCTCCAGGGTTAAGTTCTCCGGGGCTCAGTGCTGGCTCTACTTCTTTTATTCTTCTCAATTCTCTATCTAGAGGATTTCATTTTTTCCCTTGACTCCAAATGCCATTTCTTTGCTGATGACGCCAACATTCGTATTTTCAACCCAAACTTGTTTCTTGTATATCTAGAGGCTTCTGTGAATTGCTAAATTATCATATGTCAATCCTGATCTCTCTACCACCACCTTCCTCAACCTGTTTATGTCAGTCTTTTCTGTCAAAATGAATACTGCCACCACTTAGTCATGCATGCAGGCTAAAAACCTGGAATAATCCTTCCATTTTCTCCATTCCATGTCATACCCAAATTATTAGCAATTTATTTCATTTCTGTTTCTAAAATACATCTGTGTTTGCCTGCCCTCTCTTTTCTCTGGCTCTGCTCCAAACAGCCTGGTTCAAGATACCATTGTGCCTGGCATGAATTTATGAAA